CAAACGTAACTCCCCCCTTTTTAAACGCCGACACAGAGTATACAATATCTGACATTGTATGTGACAGATAGATTAATTTTTTTTACCAATCTTTGATATTTTCCCTTATCCACAAGTATAATCCTTGTTGTTGGGACCCATTGGAGTATCAATAGACACATCCAATCTTCCTCGTCTCCTTAAGTAGATTTATGATGTATTCCCTCTGTGATATAACGATGCCTTTCTTGGATCTTGCTACCTCCATACTTTGAAAATATCTCATGATTCCTAGGTCATTAATTTAAAACTCAGTGACAAGTACTTCTTTGATTTTGAGAATCTCTCTTTCATCATCACCAATAAAAATCATTTCATTCACATATACTATCAGTGAAGCATTCTAACATTCTTAAGTGTGTTTTATGAACAAATTATGATTAACTCAACCTTGAGAATACTCATTATATCTCATAATTTTAGCAAACATTTTAAATCACGCTCTTGGTCAGCCCATGGAGACTTCCTGAGTTTGCATATTAGGTGTTTGTTAGAATCATTCTAAACTCTCGATATTATCTCCATATATACTTTTCTTTCAGATCGCCATTCATAAAGAATTATTTATGTCAATTTGATGGAGTCCATGTTCCTTTTTAACTGTTATTGAAAGGAGAACTTTGATAATATTTAGTTTGGCAATTGGTGCGAAGGTCTCTTGATAGTCAATCACCCCTAATTTATGAACTTACTCGATATATCTCGTCTGAACTAGGAAAGTACATAATTTTGAATTAAACAATAAGGAAACATAAAATTGAAATGGAGTAAAACTAAGAATGTTTTCCAAATATATCCTGAATTAAATATTTTCTTGATTTTGTGAAGCAACCGGCCGGCCCACCCCATGGAGAGGAGCTGAACTCCTCAGCTTTCCACTGTTTCTATTATGCTTTCTCAAATGCAGTTTTTTAAAACCAAATTTTTGAAAAAGCAGTGAAAAGTTTGTCATCTAAACGTATGTTATTTTTTGAGGCATGCTTTTTGTGTCACAATATGCTGTAACAACTGAAGCAAGCCATTTCTTGTATATCAATTTTAGTTTCAACTCTTGATTACTTATAAATTTATTGTTGGTACTTTGGGCTAGACCATGCATTGCACATTAGTATGCCAAAAAGCTATTCATTGCTTTCTGGTTATCTTAAATGCACGCTAAGAAGATTATAACTATGTATTAATCATTTCTTGATTTATTTAGTGGGCCAAGCATGGCTATGGTAAGTCCTCGCCGCAATCCGTCTAAGTATGCGTATGAAAAGTTTAAAGCTCTTGATCGGGTTTAGAAATTTGATATAGGCAATGGGTATGGATGCAGAATTCAACAAGAAAATAATAAAGAAAACATGGAGGTCAATAAGAAAATAGAGAGAAAATGCAAATAACAGAAATTAGAAAAAAGAAAAGCTGAAAAGTAGCAAAAATATGGAAGAAAATACAATGAGATACACTAATTAAATAAAGATACAAGATACTAGAGTTTCCTACTGTCGTAATCAATCGGGATATAGAAATCACCACATGAAGATTGTTGAAGGAGTGTGATATGATATTTCAAAATGACTTATTAAGGGATATATTCGCCACCACTTGAAGTCGTGGATGCATACACATTCCCATCCAGGAATTTACGGACCCCAAAGCACTCACATATTTCTACCTCATTCCAAAAGTCCCCTAATGCAACACAAGACCACCTATTTATAACCAAACTCAAACCTTAAATCCAATACAAGTAAATGGAAGAAAATATCCTTACTAATACATTGACTCACACTCTGAACTCAAATGACTCGACCCCGGGTCATGACTAGACGCTGTCATTCTTCTCTTGTATGAGGAGCTCCTTTCGCCTCTCCTAATTAACATTTGCCCTAACTAGATTCATGATGAAATTTTGATTGGTTATTGCAATAGTTCTTTGTAAAGGCATCTTGGATCAGCCGACGAGAGAAAAGGCAAGGAGAAGAGCTTATGTTCTTATCAAATGATGGGGCCTTGGAATGAATCCTCATGGTTGGAACAACAAGAACAACACCAATTGTGAATTTTGGAAAGAATTCTGATATAGTTCTCTAAACAAGACAACAAAACAAGGAACACCAACTGCACTTGTGACAAGTGAGAGTTGTCGACATCGGTTTGATTGCTAGCCATTGTCTTGACGCAAAATAGTGGTTGAATTCTGGTCTCTGTTATCAGTCTGGAAGGCTGAATTCGAAGCAAGTAGAGGAAAGAAACATAGAAATAACAATAGACAGAAAAGTATAAGGGATTTAGGAGAAATCCCCCCAACCCTTCAATCCT